TTCATTTTCTTTTTTTCATGGTTCCAAACATGAGCTGTAGCGTGATGTAAAATGTATTATCAGCCATATATTTCCTCTTTAAATGAAGAATAACAATAATCTTGGAGTAATTTCTTTCTCACTCAGCCCTGTCTAAATAGGGCAAAGAAAGCAAGCTAATAAAGAGTGGATAAATAAGGCCCTGCAGTAATGAACGTGTGGATTAGGGCCTCTAGTCTATGTTCCATGATAAGGGGGGAAAAAAACACTACTACTATCCAGGTAAGAGCACTTACTGGCTGTCATGGAAGGATAAACCACTATGCAGCTGCACAATTTACTTCCCGCACTCACATTGTGCGCACACAAACAGACGTTACAAATAAATCAACATCCGCACGCTCAGTCACACACACCGTTAGGGCATGAGAACCACGAAGAAAAGAAATATAATAAACATATAAGCCTATTTATTCAGCCTGGGCTTTAAACGCAAAACAATATGGCGCAAAGACACAGTGTGATTTAATGTTGGAGATAATAAATGGCTTCATAATGAGCAATAAAAATGATCCCTTAACAGTTTACTGCTTAGTTCACACTTATAATTAATCTGGGTTGCATGTGTGCGTTTAGAGCGGGAATAAAACTGTGTGCGAAGCAAAAGAGAAAACAAGTGCTGGGAAACATCTACAGAGTCATTCGGGCCATAAAAAGAGGAAAAAAGGAGGAACAACCCCTAAGAAAAGGGCCTCTTTTCCTCTACACCTGGACTCTCCACACAAAAAAACACACACAGCAAAAAAAACAGACATTTAGTAAAATTATTTAGCACAACGGGAAACCATAACATTTATAATGTTTTACAAAGCCATCAAATAAGGAAAGAGGGGATTAATTGCCCTGGTCCGACCTTAAAATAATTATTTTGAGCGCTGCAACTCTAAACTCCAACGAAATTGATACACTTTGATAATTAGATTCTTGGCACTGACCCGCTGAAGTCAATAAAGGTTATTAAGGCCAATTGCTGTCTAAACGCATTACGGCCAGAGTAAACTGTCCGTCGGAGGCCCCTGCTACTCCAGCGCCAATATGATAATCCATTCTCCGTCCTGGGGGTTTCTTCCCCAGCGCCTGTGTCTCCACTCTGCCATACAAAACCAGATTGGATTCGCTTAACCTTTCCAGGACTTTGATCAAATGAGCTCACACAGCAATAACATTTACATTGACCACCCCACCACCCACTCCCCCCCTGACTCACACACAAACCTTATCTCACTCCTGTCTAGCTCCTCTGACTCTACAGACTCTCATCCCCCCCCCCAGGTTTGCTCAATAACCTAATCAGCTCTTGATGGCGGCCGGGCCAGGTTGCGTATGATTGCGAGCGCAACTCACCTCAGCAGCTCGGATTGTTTCCGAGGACTGTTATTAGAGGGAGGACTTTGGCGGGGGTTAATATGGTCACTGAGTAAAATCCCTGCACAAACACACGGGGCTGCATGCATGCAAATGCTTGCCTGCATTATAGATCATGGGGGGGTTGTGAGTATATGTTTTACATGTTTATTTGTGACCAAAAAAAAAAAAAAAAGTCATGAAATGGGGAGTGTCGGGTCGGGTGAAGCGGAGGGAAACGTGGCCCTGATATCACTTCCTGTTTAGTACGCCTTGAAGTGTACAAATGTATCCAACAGTGTGGATCCCGTTTATAAAGAAAGTGGATTAATTTCCTTGATAGGCATTGAAAAGATTTCCATCTACAAGACCGGTTCTCCTGTCAAATCAAAGGGGGGTGTATGGGGGGAGGAAGGCAAAGATATGGGGAGATGGAAGGAGAGAAAGAGAGGAAAACAACAGAAATAAAGAGTGAGAGAGGAGAGGAGGAAGAAGGAAAAAGCAGACGGGGTGTATTGAAATCTCTTTGCAAGCGCTGGCTTTTGAAGTTGTGAGATGAGCAGCCACAGAAGTCAGGAAAGTGACAAATTAGGGAAAAGGCTGTACTGCGCAAGCAGAGCTGCTAAATCAATTAAAGTCATGCCGAGTGCATACATTAACATCAATGGCTCGGGCAAAAAAACACACACACACACACACACACACACACACACACAAAAGGACAACTCAGGAATAAAAAATAAAAAAAAGAGAGAGAAATGTGCTCATGGTCTCGCCGTCGCTTCTTCCACCACAGCGAAAAAAAGAAAGATAAAAAAAATAAAAATACCACACCGGTATTTAAAATATTCTGCATAAAGCCAAGATCTTCTGCCTATTGTGACTCACAAAGGAGCCATTCATTGTTGCTAGTTTAAGGAAATGTCACTATTGTACGACTGCAATGATAGCAAGAGTCCTGAGGGAGAGCGAGGCTCGGAGCCAGACGGTTCGAAACGGAATCCAGCGCCCTGGATCACAGGGGAACACAAAAAACCTTTCAGTCGCTGCCCTTCTTCCACCTGCCCAGAACAACCTTTACCTACCTTTACCTTTACACACATTATCGCTCAGCTAAGCTCTCACGTGAAATATACTTAAAGACTATTCAGGGGAAGAAGAAAAAAAATGGAGAGCAAGACAGTGGACTCGTTTTGTTTTGCTTCTTTATAAATTTATTTATGTATTTTATCAGGATGTCATTCAAATAGGAGGATGAGCATTTGCATGACAACAGGCTGAGGAGCAGAGAGGAGCCCGAGGGAGAGACACTATCCACATACAGGAGAAGGGTCTTTCCATATTGCAATACTCTTCATACAGACTAACAAACGCGTACACAGCCCAACGCATCGCTGCAGCTAAATATGACAATAAAGCAAGGAAGCCTGGCTGTTTGCATTACTATTTTAGCAAAGATGAAACAATAGGCTCTTTTATTGCAACGGCGCGGTGTATAAAACAATGCAGCGTCATTTTATAAAGCCTATTTAAATAGACACGTATTTGTTATTTTAAAATACCCCGGCCAACGGAAATATAATAAATAAAAATTGCGGCGCATTAAAATCTACTCTGCAAGCAGCCAAAATATGTAAATAAATAAATGGTAAACAGCATCTGCTCACACTAGGTCACTCGTATTTCACCAAATTAGACGGCGCTGTCAATTGCTGGCTTCAAAATGTAAAATATATGCCAATATAGGGGACTGCAGGAGAGCCGGCCATTATTTAAATAACCCAAAGTAATTTAGGGAAATGTGTTTTAATCCAACAGCAGAAAAGCCTCAGCTATCTAAACCTCCCAAAGAGGAATCTATAAGCCATATTTATGAAGTGCTGTTTCATCAGCGGATCTGAGGTCGATGCATGTATGTAAATACTGCTAGCAAAAGCAATAATGTTGTCTTTCATCACAATAGAGAATCGTTACCTTTGTGCTCATGCCAGCGTTTTTCCCTTTTTTTTTTTTTTTTTTGTCTAATATCCATTTCTACCGCCAGAAGAGATGCTTCCTTTCGAATCTTTCCGCATCGTAAAAAAACAAATCTGTTTAAAAATTATTTAATCTAAAAAAAAGTTACTCTTTTTAATCTACAATAACACTGTTATTTTAGGTAATAATAAAGGAAAAAATAAGAGATATTTATTGTCAAGTATATTGTTTTTTCAATAAAAAAAAGTGAATATTTTATTTGCATTTGAGCGTTTGCACTGAATAATATAAAAATAACGTTTAAATAAATATAGAAGAAAAAAAAATAACCACTGACATATGAGCTTTTCACTTTAGCAGTGGCCTTTTACCGAATACAGGTCAGAATCACACACTTCATCTATAGCCAAAGGTGGAGCACTCAAAGCCCGTCACCCAGCCTCTGTCAGGATCTCTGGATGCCTGAGAGAGACGGGCCGCTGCCTGAGCTGAGCAGCAGAGGCACCGCTCTCCCCTTCAGCCCCTGTCTTTATCCCCGCCTCAGCATTAGATGTGATTACTGCTCAGCGCTCAGCACTGACAGAGACCCAGAGCTCCCAGAGACAGCAGGACTGACTGCAGGGAGGCAAAGAGAAGATCTCTTAGCTGAGGAAGCAGCTGCTACAGTGATGCAAGAGTGCCCCCTGCTGCTCCTAATGTCTGGGTATGGAATGCATTAACTGATTTATAGGTATAGAAAATAACAATAAAATGTGCATCTGAAGGTATGTGAATGAAATCTTTTCAAATAAAGACATATGGGAGGCCTTGTTGGTTTATGAGCTGCACAGAACCAGGGCTATGTGTGAGTCTGATTAACTAACAGCATAATGACTGTATGCTAACTTAACAGTAAGTCTGACATTAAAATCCTATCGGTTTAAAGTGGTTTTATATATATTTTCCTTAGTATTAGACGTGTGCATACTTGTTTATGTGCAAAATGTCTGTGATGCTGCAGGTAAACCCATTGCATCTAATTTCAGGTTATTGGGTAAGAATTTAAAATCGTGTCTTCTCCTCTAAGGACTTTCTGATGACATTTACAGTTGGAGTTTATCAGCTAAAAAAAAAGTCAAATGTTGATTTGTTATTAAGAATGGATTTTAATTGTTTTATATGGTTTTATTTCCATACAATTAGAATTAAGAAAAATAAATGATTTTAAAAAAAGATTCATTTTCACTTTTTTAAATATTCTTTAAGAATGCTTTTTTTCTTATGAAAGGATACCTTGAATTTTCCGCTTAAATCTGCCCGAGAAATTAATCATTTTGGACTCACCTGAATGTAGGCTGTTCAAATAAACATTGATTAAATTTTTAAAAGAATAAAAAATTAAATATTTTTTTTAAATACCTGTTATAATTTATAAAATAATTAGGAATAGATCGTACAAATACATCCTTCATTATCAGATATTATCAATCAATTTAACTTCATCAACTGAATATTTTCCAATCATTTAGCAATATTGTCTTAATTTTGGTTGTATTTGTTTTGATATCTAATAAACTGCAAGGAGATAAAGCTTTTTCCGATATATAATTTTTTTTTAAAAGCTGTGCTACGATGAGCAGCATGTCTTAAAGCCGCCCTACCATGGTCTCCATGAGCTTCCAATCCTTCTCCAGCTGCTCCATCGGTCGGGACCACCAGCTGCAGAAGCGGGCGTAACGCTGGCCCTGAAACCAATACTGTCGCAGCCATTCAAACTCCACCTGAAGGAACACAATCAAGCTTCGGGTTAAAATATATTTTTTCATATATCTTAAGAGTTAAAAATGTATACTTCAACACAGACACAATCTAATTTACCCTTTTCTATCAGAAAAAATAAAATCTTGGCAAAAAAAAAGAAAGAAAATAAATGCACCTCCTTGTGTTGGATGTAACTAAAATGTCATCTGCTGATGACAGGGTGTTAAGATGAACTAGTGTATGTGAGACATTCCTCCAAAACATTATGTGGTAAAACCGAAGCCAAATACAGGAAGCAGAGATAAAACATTTTTACATTTTTTTTAAAACATTTTGTGACAAAAAAACAAAAACTTCATAATATTTATGGGATTTTTTTTACGTAACAGACTAACTCAAAGAAGAACTGAAATGGAAAAAAAAAGATTAAAAAATATATATATTTTTTTTTTAGAAAAACACTGAAAAGTGTGGCCTGTATTTCTCTTCAGCCCCCTTTACTCTGACACACTAAAGTAAAAGTTCCTTCAAGTGTCTTTAGAGGACAACTAACTACTATATAGAGTTTGCCTGAGTGTAATTTCATCTCATCATAAATTTAACTGTTCTGTTTAGGGTTGATGTTAAACATAAGTGAACAGGTAGCATCAAAATAAACTAGACTCTTCAGGCAGGTTAGTGGTAAATTTACAGTGAAGTTTAGCTGAATAAGGTTCTAAGACGATATGATCCATCGTCTGTAGATAGAAGCAATATGGCCTAAATGTAACCCTGTTAAAATACACTACAAGGTGGGCATTAATCAAAGACATAAACTCATCATACTGGAGCTCTGGAGGTAGATCTACAGCTGAGGGGAGGGAATCTGTCAAAAAATTCAACCATTGGTCAAGCTCTACAAATTGGTCTTTGTGAAAAGCAGGAAGGAAAAAAAACCTTGTTAGATCAAAGGAATCAGAAATCCTGGTTGTTGTTATTTAAGCCATGTAGGGAACAGAAAACATTATAGAAGAATGTGTTCTGGTTGAATTAGACTAAACCAGAGCTCTGCTAATCAGCAAAACCCTGCGTATTACCATAAAACGACGTCTCCTTCATAACACGGTGGGGACAGAATCATTGCTTGAGATGAAGTCAGAGTTTATGGCAAGATGAATGACTCTGAATACTGAATACCTGTTAGATGGTAAAAAAAAAAAAGACTTCAGGCTGGTTTTACCTTCCAGCAAGGCAGCAGCCGTAAACATAGATATTAGCCTCTAGATGTGAAAACCTTGTAGAAACAGAACTTTAAACAAAAATTATAGCTTTAGTTATAACAAAGTATAGTCTTGGAGGGAAGTGACTAAAACAAGGTGGTGAAATTGAATTTAAATCATTGTAAAAATCCATATGTAGTAAAACTAGGCTCACCTTTGTGTTTTACTATTATATGAAAATCAAATGAAATAAGATTGTGGATGGAATCTATAAAAAAAACGGTATGGATGCTTTTTAAATACAATGTGGTCGTACAGTATAGCATAACAGCAGCTGCATTTATACCCCTCACAGCAGTATCCAGCTGTTTGATGCTTCTAAACGAATGTAAGCGATTTACTGATAACCACCGGTTCATTGGGTTCATTGAGAATCACAAACTGCAGAGAGGTACGAACATCTCCAGAAAAGCAGCCATGGATCTGTGTTTACACATCATCCACACTGCAAAAATTTTTTTTTCTAAATAAGTCATTTTTTCTTAAAATAAGTGCATTTTTTCTTGAATTAAGGATTTAAGTGAGACCCTTTGCCAATGGAACAAGACAATTTACACTTAAAATAAGAAAAAACAATTGCATTGTCTTATTTATTGTCTTATATTATCTAGATACCTTATTTTAAGAGTAAAAATACTAATTCCATTGGCAAATGATCTTATTTACCAGCTCAAATTAAGGGTAAATACCCTTAATTTAAGACATTTTTACTCATTTTGAGATCATTTTTGCTGTGCATATTAAAACACATCTTTACTGATATACATATGTGAAGATGTGTTGCTGATCAGTATTTTTTGAATACTCTACAACGATGCCAAATATTTCTGAATGGCTCATGAGTCCCAATAAGGTCAACGATGCCAAACAGACCATTAGCAGTGGGTTTATCTGTACATTAAAGCATTCTACAGTAAAGGGACATTTGTCCAGCTGAAGCTAAACAGACTGCAGGTTTGCAGTAAGCAGGTAAAGGTGTGCACTATGATTGATTAATTCTTCAACCATCAGCAGATTCTGCAACAGCTTTTTCCCCACTGCCATCAGACAGCTGAACTGTTGAAAAAAAACTCTAAATCAAGTCACAGATTCTGCATCACACTGATACCAAGCCAAAATACTGCGTATTTGCACCATATAAATTTGTCTTGAAATGCTCTCAACTTCCATTTCAATGCGTTTTTGCACCATGTTGTTTTTTTTCTCCTACAGTTTGCATTTGATCATCGCTGCACTTTATAAAATGGAAATGTTCACTTTACTGCTAACCTGCTGCACATTCAATATCTGAAAGCTGTAGAAAACATATACAAAATGACAATAAAAGTTGCCTAAATCTAACCATCAACCACAGATATCCAGACCCTTAAAACATGGTTTTGCAAACAGCAAATTTGGAATAAAAAAAAATGTAGAAATATGTTATTTTTTTTACAAACCTTCCTGTGAGCACACCTGAAAACCCCACCCATCTTCCATCCTCTGCTCCAACATCTGTAACTGACAGTCTCTGCTGCTGAGCCAAGCCCCCCCTCCTCCTCCTCCGCTTGGAGTGTTTTTGTTTCCTGCTCTTTTGAAGTGCTGAATTAATCCTCGGAAAGGATGCTTACCGTAGCCAGGTGTAGCCTCGCTACTTCTGACTGTGTTGTTGTGAGTTTGGGCCTGAACCCAGTGAGCTCTGTTGTGTTTGTGCCCCTGCTTGTACCTGTCTTCTTAAGAGTGTGGCTGGCTTTGTTAGGGTTTCTGCAGAACATGGCCATGCGGGTGTGTATGTGTGTGTCAAAGATTATTCCAAATGCTACAAACATCAAGTCAAGGCGGTGAGATGCCCTCCCCCCTCTGAAACGTCCCACAAAGCGGCATCCACCCAAAACAATACAAACCCCCCCGTAACAGCCTGATGTAGACAACTGCACGGCACAAAGTCTTCTGGCGTACAAAAGGGTCGCATATCACATAGAACTCGGAGTTCTATTGTTTGCCTTTTGAAAACTATTTTTGTTTATTGTTCTTCCAACAGAGCATTAGCAAACGGATGAAAATGAGCCTTTTCAGCTGCCAACTTCCGATTTATCTCAACCAGTTTAAGCTCAATAATACGGCTGAAGATGTCCTGAGGAATTAAAAATTTCATTTAGATAATTATTATGCATTTTTGGTGCTTTTATCTGTTGAATTTTGCATTACCATATTAGTATTTTGCACTGGTTTTCAACTAAATGCAAAACATTGCAAAGGTTTTCATACCCCTAGAACCGTTTTACCTTTCCTCATGTTAAAATGCAAACTTGATTTTAGTTTATTATCGATTTAATGCAATAAATTCACACTGTTAAGTGGAGTTAAATAAGGTTCTTAATGTTTTTAAAGAGTATATATTGATTACATTCAGCAATCCATTACTTTCACCTCCCTGAGCAAAAACCTAGAGCAACAGAGAACATATAACAGGAAGTGGAGTTCATTTAGTAGGATCTAATCTTCATAGAAATCCAGCTGTTCTGTAAAGACCCAGCTTCATTAGAGAACACTACTGAACAAATAGCAGTGTGAAGACGAAGAAACACTGCAAATGGGTCAGGAAAAAAGGTGTAGAGAAGTTTAAAGCCAGGTTAGATTAGAAAGTAATATCCTAAGCTTTAAACATTTCACAGAGCACTGTTAAATCGATCATCTGAAAATGCAAGGAATACGGCAGGACTGCACGAGGCACGGCCAGCAGGCTGAACTGACAGGTCGGTCTAGGAGAGCATTAATCAAGCAAACAGCTAAGAGGCCCGACGGTAACTCAGGAGGGAGGCCTCTGTTAAAGATGGACATGTTTGATAAGGTCAGAATTCAACTTTTTAGTCTATTTTATTGGAGGTAAACGAACGCAGCACATGACATCCACACAGTTAAACATGATAGTGTCAGTATCATGCTGTGGGGATGCTATTCTTTGGCAGAGGGAGGGAATTTAGGCAAAAAAACTGGAGTGTTGCTGCAGTTTCCAGCAGGAACAGGACTCTAGACACACAGGCAGACATTAAAAACATCAGCTGTGCTGCTTCCATCAACACCCTTGTTTATAGATGCTGGAGATCGGCCTGTTTTCCAGTGTGGTCCTGTTTCTCTGACCGTGACTGAGTGGATGTGCTCTCTTCGTCCTCTGGCATGGGAGCTGGCTCGGAGCTCGTCTGCCTGGCTGTGTGTTTCCTGGACGGGGCCGCCTTTTACAGCTGCTTTTTGTGTCTCTGCTTCTGTCTCCTTGAACCCCAGTCGGCCTCGGCAGATGGCCGCTCACACTGAGCCTGGTTCTGCCGGAGGTTTCTTCCTGTTAAAAGGGAGTTTTTCCTCTCCACTGTTGCTACAAGCATGCTTAGTGTGAGGGATTGTATTTGAGTCAATGCAATCAACTGGTTTTCCTTAGATAGAAAACTTTGTATCAATTTGACTGTATGATCTGGTTGAACAGTAAAGTGCCTTGAGATGACATGTGTTGTGAATTTGGCGCTATATAAATAAACTGAATTGAATTTAATTAAATGGAAAGGCTTAAATCAAACTGTCTCCATGTTGGAATCCACCAATCACAGGGAAGATTTATACAATGCCTGAACTATCCTGCCAAGTCTCTCCATGTTAACAGATAGACACAGATCCCAAGTTCATACAAAGCCATACCACGATTTTAAGATTTTTATTGTATGCTGTACGAGATGCAACAAATAAACACACATTGTGTCTGTTTTGCTCCCCAATCTTTGTTTTACTGCATG